GCAGTTTGTCCTTAATAATACTGTATATAGGCAAACATCTGATATTCTTACATGCTGCTGTATGTTCTGACTGACAGAAAGTGTTTTTATTCTATATTTGCAGGTGGTGATGCAGCCAGAGTTTGTAATATGTGGGCTCAGGGCTGCCCGAGTATTGTACCCAATCTTTTCTAAGACCACTTTTATTTTTTTTAATTATTAAATGCTCCGATTTCTTCACACCTTTATAAAACGCTAATTTCAAACGTTTATTTTTCTAATCCTGCTTTAGAATTCGACGCAGAGTTTCCAGCATTATTCAGCTCACTACACCACCACTAAACATGTCAACGATGAAAGTAATAGCACTTTTCCAACAACAGCATAATATCTGAAAGTGTCGGAGCTTTGCAAAACTGAATTTATGACAAAGTTGCATTGGTGTAAACTGCACACGTGTTGCTAATAAAGTGCTCGCTCAGTGAATATTCAAATTCCAGCGATAGAGGACTGAGCTGTCTTTGGTTCTGAGTAATCATCTGCCGCTAAATGTTTAACCAGATAACACGTCTACATCCTATAAACCACATATTTCAAACGCTGACGCAAAGCTTCCCTGAAGTGCAAGTTCAGAGATGTAAGATGACATTACACGAACATTTACTATGTAATTATACGTTACTAGAACCTAACACACTTAACACAATTAAAGAGAGAGGAACTGGAAAAATACGGAGTCATACAGCACAAAATATTTCCCCTAATTTCTTTAAAACCCAGGATTAGCCTTACGTCATCCAAATCCCTTAATCTATATAAAAAACGAGAGGAAACCCCGAAAGTTTCCGAATAAAGGTTAGCTCCACAATGTGAACTCGAAACAAATCAAACGCATTTCCTTACCTCTGTTCCATATCACTGGACCTGCCTAGAAGCGTTATGACAGTTTTTCCAAAGTCCAAAGTACAACTTGGCTTTTTCTTTCGCTAAAGTCGCACCCGTACAAAACGACGGTGAAAACTCCTCTAAAAGCACCGAGGTCTCGTCAACCAAGACATTAAAAGTTTAAAGTTTAAGGCTGGAGAGCAGTGAAACACCGCAGACTTTATTTTCTCGCTCTGTCAGAGTCCGAATACAGCTGCAGCCTATCGGTTTACAACCACGCCGCTGATGCCTTCAAATGCTCCCGGACACATGGGCTTTCGTAGCTTTTACCGGTCGTTTCGGACAAAAATAACGAATTATTATTAATTATTAATAATTTTGTTAACTTGGAACAAAAGATTTAAGCTACTTTGATGATTGATAAGACGCCATGTCATGTAGGTGATTGTAGCCACCTGTACTAAAGCCTTAAAGTCAATTTCCCTTAAATACTGCCTTTGAACTGCGCTAAATACCCAATACTTGTAACAGCATTGAAGGCAACACCGGCGTCAAAGCAGGCAAGAGGTGCTTGCACAGTGGAAAATGCTACTTCATACGACACACTCCTAACAAGCAGCATCCCTAGTTTTATTCTTCGTAATATTCAAGACCTTCAAAGGTCATTTAAAAAAAAAAAACCCCAATAACTCTGTAATTAGTTTTTGTTGTTGTTTTCTTTTTACTGGGGGTGGATTGGGTGCATTTGAGAGACTATGCTGGTACATAAATGGTTGAGCTGAAGCAAATTCCAAAATGACTTCTCGTTCTTACCCCCCCTCTCCCACCAGGATCATTTCAGAGACCTCCCAGCCTGACACAATCAAACCAGACACACAAGACCAACTTGCCCAGTGCCTCTGGCCGACTGACCTCAAAAAGACACTCAAACACTTTAAAAGTCTGGTTAAAAAAACCTGTAAGTATTTAGCTTAGCCATGACGTTATGTCAACTCTGCCCCCTAAAGACCCCCTGAAAGCATTATCTTGTTATTTCATTAACTAGCTCAGTCCCTCAGCAAACAAACACTCGGAGTCAAAATAAAACTATTATTTAACTAACTGTTGCTAACCCAAGATCACAAGACTCCAGGCAGCCCGATTCACTGCACGTGACTGCTTTAAGCTGATGCATATTTAATGAATTACAGACACATTTCCTTGGATAATTACAGTACGTTCACTCAAGTCCTGAACTGAAGTATACACTAGTTCTTTGCAATGCATTCCCATTCATTTGTTTTTTCCCCTTATGAACACGCCTGCACACAACAGTTCAGAGGGAAGTTACTCATCTGCTGAGCTTTAAAAAGATACAGTAGCTTCTAATTTCATGTATCAGATGTTTGAGTTTTTCTGAGCATCTCCAACAAAGTGTCCTCCCCTTTGAAGTTCCCAGTATCAGAAGCTGCCAACACTACCTTACAGTAGGTAGGCATTTACCACTATTTACCACTATTTTATGTTGTTTACCTACTTTAAATCATTCAAATTTAGCAGTGGCATTCTGTATACTCATCAGTGTTACCAGTTTAAAATTACTGGAGGAACTTTTTTTCTGTAGAACATTTAGTTTTGCAACCTCTTACGTACAGAGCAGAGGCCTTTACCACTTTCTTTCTGAACTTCCTACGAGAAGGACCTCTAATAGAAGCCATGGGGCTGAATAAACAAGACACAGTGAGCATGGCGCTTTGACCTTTAGGACAAAACACATGACAGAACGCCTACAGAGCAGCAGCCACACATGCAGTGAGATTCAGAAAACGCAGTTCATAGATTTTAAAAATGAAATTTGTAATACTTTTATGTGGTTTGAGACTGCCTCCACCTTCCTGAGTGCTATTAATATTTACACTGAAATCAATATACAAGGAAGGAAGGAAGGAAGTCTTGGTGTAGTCTTAGTAATAACTGGATGACATGGGGGGGTCTTCAGCTAATGCAGCTCACCTGAACCTTCCAGGCTATTAAAAGCTGGCTCAAATGAACTGTTCAGCTTGTGTCTTCCACTTCCAATGTATGTGTTTTAAAAGGCACTTTAACCACCAAACAGCTTAAAATGGGATGAGAAAGTAAAAATATTTACATTACACATGAAGAACTTTCACTTAATATGTACAACTCAACTGAGACTTTAGCTTATCTGTCTCCTCATAGATCTTGCAGACAGGAAGTAGTAAATTCCTGCCCTGCTATCTTGTACCATATAACAGGATGAGAACTTTGTGCTACACTAAGCATCACACAGCTGGTATTTTGCATGGACATGAATAATCCATTTGACTTCTGGAATGCCAGAAGTACAAGGATGCCAAGTTAACTGGACAGGAGAAGAACACCATGCTGTCTGAAACATAAACACGGTAGTAAATATTAATTCTTACAGTTTGGATACATGCCTCTATGTTTTTTAGTCGCACAGTTATCATGAGAAATGTATTTCTTTAATGAGACTTGTGTGTGTCAAAATAATGTTGCAGTGCACTGAAGTGTGAAAGAAGTCTAACAAGTAAGGATCTGTATTAGCAAATGTTTTCTGTGTCACTGATGCAATGACCTTCCTTACACACACAGTCAGTTTACAACATAACCTGACTTGTTAGTACGTAATCCAAGGCACCACCCATACAAAGGTGCAGTTTACAACAACAGCGTCTCATTGACGCTGCAGATAAACACATTACGCAGACCTTGGACAGTCTCACAGCACCAGGAAATGATCTGAGATCCTTTGGAACAGGAGACAAATCTAACTCTGTCTCACACATTCTCTCCTCATTTCCCTCACATAAGCAGCTGTCTTGGCTCATATATGCTCACAGCTGCCCAAATCACTGGTCCCCAGACATGATGAAGCCTGCACTGAGGAGGGGGATGGGGGGGTGCATCTGGGTCAGTAACTGGTAGGTCTTATGGGTTGTCTGGGGACAAAAGAAGTCGAACCTTCCTTGTTTATTGAAAGTTCACAACTCTTTTTTTTCCCCCTTTACCATGAAGCTAGTACAGTTTGATCCCAGTTTCCACTGCGACACAGGGCGAGCACACGGTATGAGGGATTAATAGCTCCTAGCTTGTATGGTCTTTATTTTAACTGGAACAGCACAGTGTGTTAACAATTTCCATCATTTTACTGGGAAGCGGCAAAGGTTAGTGGTGAACTGCGTTGATCTGGGCAGCGGAGGCATATTTTTCCAATGTTGTGTGGCTCCCTGCAGGAATGTGCTCTTTCAGTCACCATGGAGAGGGAGACAGATTCTTACTGTTGCAGGACAAAGCTTAAAGCTCAATGGATGGGTTTACAGGCCTTCACATTGTGAAAGGATTAAATAAATCAAGGCTGGCTGGGACCTAGCACCACGGTACCCTGCCATGGCCTTACAGCTTTGACCAAACAGACGCACACAAACAGCTGGCCCTCATCCAGACAGGATATTCAGCAACAATGAGTAACCTGGCTCACCCCTAGACTGATTTACATACACCTAAAGAGGCCATGGCAGTGAACAGAACAGGGGCTGGAGGGGGAAGACTGTTCACTTACCCCCCAAATCTATTTGCGAAACTTAAATATATTAAGCAATGCTATTTTCTTTTACAGACAGATGATACAATGTGACATATTTAAACACACCCATAAAATATCCACATAGTAATAAGGACTTTGGAGTGAAAGAAAGAAGTGTAACAAATTTAAATGGAAACATGACTTATTTGCATTTGACAGATGTTTTCAAAACAAAGATAATAATGTGCCGAGTCAAGTGAAGAAAACTATAAACAAACACTGCAAAAACCTCCACACTTCCACACTATTGTGGCTTTACTGATAATTTACAATCAGATGGTCCACCATCAGAGTGTGGAGGAAAGACTGTGTTAAAGGTCAAAGAAAAGGTTTAAAAGAGCAACACCAAAAAAGTGCACAAGAAATAACAGCGCGTGTTAACAAGTGTACTGTGACAGGCACACAGACTAGTCCTAACAAGGCGACACAGTGCAAACACATCACTCAAGGGAGAAGAGTTAATTTCTGGTTAGCAGGTGGTGGTGGTGCAACACACCAAGGGGGTTTTTGATTGCTTTTTTTGGTCTACCTGAACTTATGCTGTAGTGGTTTAGCGGGTCGGCCACCCATGCACTGTCCTGTATTACACTCTCCATCTCCAAGTCTGCATGCATCCCGATGGACAGATGGGCCAACAGACATTTGGATGGATGGATGGATGATGGAGACATGAGAGAATCAGCAAAGGGAGAGAAGCACTTCAAGTTAGAGAGCAGATCAACTGTGCACTTTGGAAAACTGAGGAAATGACACTTTAAAAGAGCAGGTAACAGAACACATAATTATAGTTGTAGTAATGAATTATACTGAATGAAAAAAAACTACATGAATTTAAAAAAGTGAAAGAAGTTCAGTTTAACTTTGAAGTTATAATCCTTAGGATTTTTATGAACTCACATCTTTTGTTTTAAATTACATACCTACACATGAGGTAATGATTATACTGGCTTGCAGATGCACACACAAACAGCTATGAACAAGAAGTGGCTTCTTTAATTTCTTTTCAAATTTGCCTGAGAGAAGCATGCATACCCCTCACCACCTTATCACAGTAAAGTGGTCAGGTACAATGTGGCTTGGGTGATGGTCAAGGGCGGGGGGCTGTGGAAACAGTCTTTCCAAGTGCAGCCCCCATGAGGGGCTGGAGGGGAGTCTGGTCAGAATGGAGTTGCCCTCGGTGAGCAATATGTCCTGAATGTCATCGGCAGTTATGGACTGAACAACAGTTCAGAGTGCCCAGCCTACTTGGAGTTGCTGGGTGTGGTGCTGGAGGGTGCTCCACCTGATGTCATTGTCCTACTAAGAGACATCAATGCTCACCTACACAACGACAGTGAGACCTGTAAGGGCATTAGGATGAATGGCCAGATTGAGTTGAACCCAAGTGGCGTTCAGTTATTGTTGTTATATGTTGCCAACTGATCACTACCCAGTGATGTGATGGAACAGGTGGTGGGAGAGAATGCTAATTAGGTCAGGCGCACCCAAACGTATTGTGAGGGTGTTCTGGGAGTGTCCCAGGCTCTTATCTCAATTTCCACCTCCAGTAGAACTTTGACATCATCCCCGTCATCCCAATGAGCTGGCTGTAGCTCAGGAGGTAGAGCAGGTCATCAGGCTCAGCAGGCTGACTGGAAGGTTGGTGGTTCGATCCCCTGCATGCCAAATATCCTTGGGCAAGATGCTAACCCTAAGTATGTGTTAGTTAGAAAGCACTTAAAAGCATAGAAAAAAGTGCTTGTGTGAATGGGTGAATGTGGCATGTTGTAAAAAGCTATATAAGAATCAATCCATTAATCAGTCAGGCCATAATACATTCATGTTTCACACCCTCATTGTTGAAGGAGGCGCTGCAAAGTGTTCGGATACTGTTGTGCTGTCCTATAAGCAGACTGTAGACAGTGGAGCCATCAACTTGAAGGCAGGCCGAGCAAAATGCGGTTTTTGCAGTAGCTGATCTAAAAACTCTTTTTGTAGGAAAAGTTTGGTGAGCCCACTGAACAAGACTTTCCATCTGCCAAAACTGACTCAAGAAAGGCAAAGCAGTGCTCTACTCACAAACTGTGTAGTACAGGGGCAACTCTGCTATCACTCTATAACCTCCTATAACCTCTGGGTGGGTGAGCCCCTGGAGTGTAGAGTCACCCTGTTCCTTAAGACCTTGGGTGTTACAGGGCCGTGTTAGCCGACACGCCACTGCAATATCAGGTGGACATCTTGGGCAGTGCCTGTGGAAGACTGGAGTAGTGATCGTCATCCTTAAGAAGAGGAACTGGAGTGTGTGCTCCAACTACACAAGGATAACACTCCTCAGCCTCCCTAGGAAGCTCTATGCCAGAGTACTAGAGAGGACAGTCCATCTGTTAGCCAAACTTTGGATTCGGGAGGACCAATGTGGTTTTTGTCCGGATCATGGAACTCTGGACCAGGTCTTTATCTAATCAAGGAAATTCAAGTGTGGATGGGAGTTTGGCAAGCCAGTGGAAGTGTAATTTGTAGACTTTGAGAAGAGTCTACAAATTACAACATAGCAACAACACAGGCAGACCCATTCCAGGGTCTGCCCGTCAGCCTGCAGTGAGCTCTGTTGTCAGATGGAGGCAGTGTATAAAGCATGCATTACAACCAGTCTGTGGGCCACTCTTGCTCGTGTTGTTGCTCCATCAACCAGGGGTGCCTGCAGAATGTTTTGATAGGGGTGGGCCACTAAAGGTATTAGGGTGGCACATAAAAAAAAGGAATGAAATGACTGCAGGTCAGCAAAAACAACTTTTGATTAGATGAATAATGGGGTGGTTTTTATTGAACTGGTTCTAGTGATGGAAGATAAATATGACAGCAATTTCTTTTGTTTACTGCCCGCAGAATTTGGGGAGCTAGTTTATGAAACATTGTTACTGCCAATAAATCAAACAGGACTAAAATCTTAAGGATTATAACTTTACTTATGCTCATCAAATTTGTGATGTACAAAATCATAAAAAAAAAAGTGTAAATGTGAAAATACTTCTATATGTATGTGCGTGTGAACAAGAGAGGGTGGTGTGAGCAGACAGGCAGGTGGAGTGTGTATACCAACACGCACAGGGGGGAAAGAGACTCCAAGAAGCAGGCGGCAGGCCAGAGCAGGGGGAGGCTGAAGCAGAGGAGTCACAGTCAAATGCAACAAATCAAAACACATGCCAACACTACTGTACATCCATGTGCAATGAGATAGCAACAGCATTAATGATGTACTGAGACAGTGGAGAGCAAACGATGCACATTTTGAAACATGTACAAAGACATTCCACTTTTTAATCTGTGACTTATAATAATACTCCTGAGCCAAGATATTCTCGTTTAGTGTCCTGTAAATACTAGTTGGCCTTCTGCACGGTTTCAGGAAACAAAGACTTCAGCTTAGGGCTGTGCGATATGACCAAAATCTCATATTCCGATATAAGACATTTATCGTCCCGACAACCATATGTATCACAAAAATGTTACATTTTCTGTAAATTCTGTGAATCTCAGGCAACTTGGCTTGCGTGTTTTCAGCTGGGCGTCGTGTACCTGGAGTCGAGTGTTTTGACCAATGCGTGAAACCATACATTTTTAGACATAAGTTGTAACGGCCGCCTTTTTCTTTGTATTTATTACACGGCGTGCTGCGGGGAAAAGCCTGTTCTAACATCTGAGTCTAAGGTTTCTTTTGAGCACCTGACGGCTCTTTTTTGCTTACATTACAAAAATGGTTTTGAAATAATATTAAGATGCTCAAACAGAAAAACATTAAACACAAATATATAAAATATAACTATTTACAGAGAGACAGGAATAAAAAGGACCCTTAAAGTGGAAGCGCCTCAGGGAGAAGGAGGAGAAAAAAAAGAACATTGTTTCTGCCTCATCAGAAAACTACTGATTGCTAGAATGAATGGCTTTGGCCGGACCCTTTGAACTGGGTCAGAGCATCACGTCACCAGGCTGATTGGTTGATGCTGGAGTTCAGATTTTTCCAACTCGAGCGGTAGACGCGATAAGCGCGAATGCACAAAATGCACCACACGAACTGCAGCGCGCATTTTACTTTGCACTTCAAACGCATCAGTTGCGCTACTTGGTTGTGCGAATCAGGCAGAAAAGCGTTTTCGCGACGCAAATCTACTTCTGAAGCTTCATCGTGCTCCTTCATTGACTTTACATGTAAACCTGAAGCTCTGGTCGCGTCTATCGCGTTCAGCGTGAGCGCACCGTTAGGTCCTCGATTAGTTTTGACTGGTCCCAGATGGGCTACTTTAGCTCATACACTGAACAGAAACCCAATCATTGAAGAATTAATCAACAATAAGAGGAAAATCTGGTGTCTATATCAAAATCAAGTTCCTGACCACGTGCAGATACTCTGATATCAGAAATAGGGCTCATGCAAAAAACAAAAACAACAAAAAACAGCAACAAGCATTGAGATATTTCTTAAAAGCAAGGGAGTGGGACAGGAGGCACAGTCTAGCCTCGGACTGAATAGAGTGCTGTGTGTGCACTGCAACAAGATGCATTTGGTATTAGTCACAATCTGGAAGGATCAACAACATTATGCTTGATACTTGAGCTGCACATCAGATAACATGGGTATCGAAAAGCTCCAGAAAGCCCACAAGCAATAACCACCCTCTCTACTTTAACTTTATTTTTCTTCAATTTCTTCTTTTGTCTTGTGTCCTCACTTAATAGAGACCCCAGAATGAGGCTTTGGTATGGTTTGGAAAAGCAGCTCCACTTGCCCAACCCAATGCCAGCGGGCTGGCTGTGACGCTGAGTCATAGTGGTTGAATCAATGTTTAAATTTGGAGCATGTGATGTGGATTTATTCAAGACATCTTACAGCAATAGGATCTGAGCAGCTATTTCTGATGACAATGTTTAGCTCAAGCCGCTAAAAACACTGTCGAGTGCTCTCTTTGATTCTGAGAGGGTTTGTGTTATACACTTGTCTTTGACACTCTCTGGAGTGTGCTAAAGAGCTTATCTGTTTGCTCTGGACAGCAATAGATTAGCAGTTATTTGCAGAGGATTTGCATATGGCTGAGTCAATAAATCATGAGTAAAGGCCTCTTTCAGCTGATCATGTGTCAGAATTACAGGCTTCCTTTCACAGTAAAATCATAACCTGCTTATATATTAGACGTCTGTAACAGAGTTCTTATTGTTCCATTTCATTTTAGATTAAGAGTATCAACTACAATATTACCAACAAATATTTTTTCCCAAATCATATATATTTTAATACCCAAATCATTAAACTGACCCAAAGAGTCTGTTAGACCACTGCATGCACACTAATATATACCCAAAGTCAAATCACTCACCACAGATCGAACTCTTTCCTGAAACCTCAGCGATATCAGTGAGACATTAACCGCCATCAGTGATAACACCCTTCTAACACATTTCCTGTTAATAGTTTAAGAGGAGAATAAGTACCTGGTTTTGGCACTGAGTTGGTCATGGACTGTGGCACTTTGTCATTTATGAGCTCCACACACTCACTGGGGAAGAAGCCAACCTGGAAAGAGTTACAGCACAGAGAGAGGTGGGAGGAAAGACAATCACATTTTAGAAGACAATAATGGCACCCAAGGGCGTAGAGATGTTAAGGAGTGGTTGCCATATCAGTTATATGATTTATGGCTGATTTTTACCATTTTGTCATCACGTTACATAAACACTTCCCTTCTAAACTGAAGCAAAACTCAGATAAAATCATTACAGTGGGTCATTTAGGTTTGTAGCAGGTTTTACATTTGAATATGATCACATTAACTTTAATTAGCAAAAATAGACATTCAGGTTGCCCAAGGATACAAAAAAAACAAAACAGTGCAAATAATGTTAGCAGGTCAGACTACATGGCAGTCTGGGAAAAGTGGGATTCAAAAGGGTCTGTTTATGACTCAGACACACTCAGATTGAAAACAGGATGGCAAACCGCCTTGTTGGTTGATGACTGCACTGATTTTTTTCTGCATTTGCTGACCAATTGGAAGCAGTTATGGGATTCAACAATGAAGGGTGTTACATGCTCAGCCTCTGGGTGAATCCTTTCAATCACAAGGCAATTGCACACGTCACCTGGTGGGTGGCACTCTCTCCAAACGATGGCGGCCTAACTCTGACTTTATACATGCAGATAGACTGAGCAAAACTCATCTACACATGTCAGTGTTAAAAAGGAACTAGAACCAGCTGGTTTCCAGCTGGATGCATTCTCACTGTATTCTTACTGAACATAAAAGCGAGGTTGCAGAGCACCTATAGTATCTTGCAATTAAACCAGCATCCTGGAGAAACCACGTCACCATTTCCCCAAAATTTCCCAGGTGTGGGACTAATAAAGGATTATCTTATTCGCAGGAATTTCACTTTCACTTTCAAATGTATTGAGCCCATTCAATCCCAACCAGCAACCTGACAGTGCTATCCCTCAGCCTCCTCGTACGTACACCTAAGGTATCAATTTGAAACTCCTACATCACCTCGTTCAAGTTATCGACAATATCCTCCCATCAGCCTTTTACGGATGGGGGTAAAAGAAAAACAATACAATTGCAAGTTCATTGCACATCAACACTCCATTTGTACATAGTCACTGTGTTCCCAATTGTGACTGTAGTTTACAGAGCTACAAAGCCTGTAAAGAGGAATTAAAAGCCACCCAGTGTCAGAGCAGTGAAGTTTCAAAGACTGAATGCCATGTCGAGAGAAACTGTCATTGAGGATTTTACTGTGGGCCAGCCCAGGTGGACCAGACTGTGGAAACCGGTTAAATGTGCGTCAGAACCCTGATAGCAGAGTTTTGGACATGTTGCAGTAGCCTATGTGGCATAGTGGCACAGTAGCCTATTCTAAATAAGATTCCCTGACGGAAAGGAGAAGGAAGGCTTCAATTCAGTGACAGGATAAAAAAGTAAGACCAACAACCATGAGCTCTGTTTTGTTGCTCTTAAATCTGAAAGAATGCGGACAGTAAGAAACAAAGCTTGCAAGCTAGTTAAAGCACACAACACCCTATGCTGCGACATGCAAACTAACATGCCTCCCTCTCCTCACACTCTCCTGCCTTCCTGCATCACTACCTGGTGTTTGAAATCCTCCAAGGGAGTTTTACTGTTCACTCGACATTTACTCTGCATATCTTTTTTTTTTTTTTTTTGGGGGGGGGGGGGGGCTGCTCTTTACCCATTATGGATTTTAACCTAAAGTTTACATTATACAATAAAACACAGGAGTATTAGTGGTACAAACAGGCCACTTCTGGCATCATCAACTGCCCCCTACTGGTGGTGTCATCAGCCATCAGTTCTACCAAGACATCCTAGGTTTGAGTTTCACTTTGCTTTTACTGTTAACAAAGTTCAAATGTGACAAACTGAGTGAACCTTTCATTCATATAAAACATATATAAGTATAGACCAGCCTACATGTGTTCAAGTGTTCAGAAACTCTGTAATCCAGAGGAAGCTAGCTATTTGTAGCTAGTTAAACATAAATGATCAGTAAACATCCTGCTAGGGCTGGACTGTTCACCAACATCACATAACCTTTAAAATATAGGTTCTCAAACTAAATGAGGAACAATTAGTTCCTCATCGCTGTAATCACAATAGGATCTGGTTATGGTCAGGAAGCAAAAACTATACATGTGGGTATGTGGGGATTGTTCCAGATCCTTTCATAGACATAAACTATCACACTGCACCCACTGTTGCCTGGGGTGTTGCATTTATTTGGACAGAGCCAGTCAGGAGAAGCAGCGGGGGTGATAATGTTGGGGGATCTGTCAAAAAAGACTTGTCAGGCAGAAGGCCGAGCTCGGCGTAAGGCAACATCTTCCAGCCGATGATGTGACCTATCAAAAACCTGGAAAAGCAACTGCTGTAAACTTAGTATTATAAACTTCCACATCGGGCTTTGGTGTCTTCTTTTAAGCGCATTAATTAAATAATTTCTAGATCATTTTCACTGTTTCACCAGTTAAGCACCACCAACGCAGCCCCCTGTTTGGCTTGAATGCTGGCCTCCTTTACACCTGAACACCCACTTAGCAAATCTTGCCCACAGTGTTTTGTATACACTTGTCTGGGTAAAAGTTTCATACACACAAACACAGTGGACATACTGTTCTCCTGTGTTATTGATGACCTTCATTTCAAAATACAACTGTCGATTTAAGTGTTTTCTTAGACTGATAGGATTCATGTTAAATAGTGATTAAGCAAGCTTAATACAATACTGATGACTAACTTCATCAGTATTGTGACTACTTTGACCGACAGGTATTTTAACTTGGGCAGCAGCAGCTGATTGGTACCTTACCTCCATTAACTGAACAGGACCTCCGCACTGCTTTTTATAGTGTTTATGCCTCTTACAATATTGCCTGCTCCTTGGTATAGATTGTCCAACAGGTTTGTGCTTTCCGTGAGTGAAAACTAAGAAATTTTGAATGTGCCAATGCCCCCTTTATAATGCAAATTAGTTCAGTAGCCAATAAGAGCTAAGTGGATCCATGAAGCTGGAGCCAAATGCTATTAATATGGAAGCAGTTTGTTTAGTTAATGAAGTTTTAATGACATTTGTAGAATGACATAGGGCTTTAACAGTATGAGCATGTGTCCAATAACAGCTATGCTAACAACACCATAGTATGCTCCATTTGATTAGCAAATCAATTATTTAAATTACTTTATGTGAATATTAGCATACAAAGTAATTTGAAAATGGAATGCCTAAGTTATTCTTTACATTATATATGCTAAGAATGGCATCACATATATTCTTACATTGCAGCTAAGAGACAGCTAGCTAATTCTGCCACTAGCAAAATTAAGTCTTAGTGTTAATGCTAGTTAGCTAGCTTGCTAACAGCTAATGCATTATACCTACTTGTGTACTAACTTCTGTATAACATTAAACAGTCTTGATTTCAGGCATCAGTAAATCAATTGCACAAGGTAAATATACATGCTAATACTTGCTTCTTACAGTAACAGCCAACATATCGGGGTTAGCCAACTACACAACATGTATCTAGCATTGGTTGCTTTGTCTCATCAGTCAACTTAGACTCAATATAAACACTCTGACAATGTCCATTGCAGTTTTCTAACAGCTGTGACTGCCAGGTTACACACAGCTCCTTTAACTTCAGTCATGTGCTGTTCATGGTTTTATCTTCTTTTCACGAAACATGCAATATTTTTAGTACCAAGAGAAAATCATGCAGTGTCATGAAAAAAAGATAAAACCATGAACAGCACATGACTGACTATATATGCACACAGCGTAGGAATATGAATTAACTCAGATGCACCATGTAATCTCCCCCAAAGCTTCACATGAAGGTGGATTTGTATCTCCCTTTGCCTTTCAGCAGACTCTTAAATATTTGAAGTTTACTTTACAAAGAAGCTCCTTGTCCTTGAAAACCTCAAATACAAGTCATATCAAAAGTTTAAAGCCAGAGGGAAAGCACGTGCGAGTTTGTTTCAACGTGCTTTGTGAGCAGCGTACCTGAAAACCATGCTTGCCCCTCCACCATGTGGTGTCCTCTTTAGGGGGCATGTCAATCACAGACACGATGTCGCCAACCTGCAGAGAGTAACAAGCTGACATCAATGATTGTTATAACTGAAACGACAATACATCTAAGCTGACTTCCTCTTACAAGTGCATATTTAGTAAGGATTGTTTAGAGCTGAAAAGCTTGTCTTGAAAGACAAAAAAAACAAACACCTACTCAGTTTTCATATTTATTTACTGGTAATATCTGGACCGAAGGCATCTTTATTGCTGTTTCAGTTTGTTTTCCTCTTGTATCACCATCTGTGTAACATTAACTGCTACAAAGCCAGTTTAAAAAATAGGTGTAAAGAATTCACTCTCATATTTTGACACAGAGTAAGTGAGAGTGTGCGCTAATACTAGTCATCGACAAAACAAGCATTCATAAGCTGTTAGCTCTATCAGGGTTTTGCCTCAGTAACACAGCGTGGGTCTACTAAGAATTTTAAGGTGTAAGTCACTGGACAGTCACTTTTTACTGTTTAGGGAATCAGCATGTAGAAATCTTTATTTCCAGAATTTAATACAGCTTTAAAAAAAAGTTTGAAACTCCAGTACAGCTTTTGGAGAGGGAGCAGTCACATGCTGTTGTGTTGATTGTGAATGACCATGGCAGACCCAAACATGCTTTGCAGCATACTTTATTTCTCGCACACACGGTTGCTGTAACAGTACACTCAACGGCTGCAGCTCTCCTGCTGCCAGCCGTACGCATCAACACCAAACACAGGACCCAGTGCAATATTTAAGTCGGCGGGGCATGATTGCAGATGCCGTGCAGGTGCGTCCGCCTTCCCTGCACGGCATCGCAGAACACACCCCGCCACCGTGATTTATCTTACATCATACAAAGTTACACCAGTTAGTCAGAGATAAATGAAAGCAAAGCAACAATAGACTACACTGAGTTACTGAAGCTAATGACACAGAGACAACTCTC